GACCGTGGAGGCTCCATTTTTTCCCCCCCGGTCTGTCCCCCCCCCAACTCTGGTGTTTCTCGGGCGGGGCGTGGGGGAGGAGAACAACCGCCTCAAGGACCTGAAGCGTGTGAGTACCCTGGCATAGCAGCCCCACTCCCAGTTCCCATCAGCCCCAGCCACTCTGGCCTGGATCGAGAGTGAGGGGAGACCCATGGGAGGCTCAGACTTGCAAGAAACGCCAGGGGTCAGAAGCAGGTTGGCCCACTGGGCTCTGAAGGGATGGGTGGGGGGGGGGGGTCTAATTTGAATAGAAATGCAGCAGGGGGAGGGAAGAGAAATTCGGGGCTGGGGTGACAGGAGTTGTAGCCCAATAGCCGTGGGTGATCTTGGGGAGGCTGTGGGGGTAGCACCAGCTCCAGATACACAAGGCTTCTCCCTTTGAACCTGTGCCAGACTCCAGACTACCAGAGCAAGAAAATGGAGAGCAAGTCCCTGAGGAAGAAACTTTTCCACATCAAGCGGATGGTGAGCGAATACGACAAGCATCGAGGGTGAGCCTGGGGCAGGGCCCCGGGCCCCAGGCGAGAGGAGCCGAGGCCCAGCTTCCTCCTGGGGCCCTGAAGGACTGACTCCGAGCCACCAAGCAGCACCCTTTCCTCTCACCTGGCCGCCTTCCCTTTCGGTCCTCGGGGCGTTTGGCGAAGCCCCAGGGACTCCGCGGCCTTCGGGGCCCTGCCGGGACACTGCGGAGCCCAAAGAGGCCTGGAAGACCGGCTGGTCCTCCCCCAAAAGGCTGGGCTGCCAGTCCAGCTTCGTGAATTTCCTTTTTGATGCTGATCTGTTTTTTCCTGTTTTGTGCCAAGAAGCTTGTCTAGTTCTGGGGCAAGTGGCGATGACAGCGGGCATGGACTAAAAGTGGCCTCTGCGGTTTTCCGCATTCAGCTGCTGGGAACCGCTGCGGTTTGGGGCAAATCAAGTTGGGGGAAAAAACCCCCACACGCAGAATGGCAGGAGCATGCAGCGAGAAGGGGGGTGGGATAAAACATCAATGTTGCAGGTAGTGGCTTGTGGCACCTCAAAGGCGAGGAAACTTATGGCATGTAAGTTTCTCAGACCACATCCTTCTGGATGCGGGGATTCCTTCCCGAGCTGCCGGATGAGATCGGTTGCATCTGTAAAAGGAAGCGGGTCTTGCTCAGGCAGGCGGGCAGGCAGAGCACCACGCCGGGCAGTGACCCGTCTGCATCCCTGCTCCAAACTACCGCAGATCCTTGGTACCCCTCCTCCTCCCTTGTGCCCAGTCATGGTGCCAACCTGCGTGTGGGGAGAGCGCTGCTCCCCCAAAGGGCCTGCTGTTGGAAACCTGCCCCGTCTTTGCGATGCCACTGCAGATTGTGTTCCTGCCCCATTCCTGCAAAAAGCAGCCACGGAGTTGGCTCCAGATAGCTCTGCTGGGGAGGGAGGGGCCCTCCGGGGGTCCCAAGCCCCACTTCTTTTCTTGACCCATCTCATCTGCTGTACCCCAGAAGGGGGTTCTGCCTTTGGAGCCAAGCAGCAGCTCAGGCACGGCCTGCTCTCGAGACCCGTTTGCCAAAGAGCCCCTGGGCGCCACGGCCATGGGAATCTCCATCTGTTGGAGGGGGGAATGTATGTATTGTGAAAAGGGGGAGGGGGGAACAGACCTTTTTTTAAAAACAAAATAGTAAAGCTATTCCTTTAATAAACGTGGGAAAACCTCTCGTGGTGGGTTGTCTGTGTCTGTTGGCAATGCCTGGGATGTGAAATTACTTCGTGGGAGCCCAACATTCTCTGCCAGGGATCCTCAAGGATGGGATGCCGGGCACTGCTGCCTCCCTCCCGGGTGCACCACAATGTAGCCCCCCCCCAGCTTCCCCACCACAGCCCACCGTGGTTCGTCTGCAAGCACTAGAACCAGTCCATGGTGCGCTTGGCTCGAGAGTCCCCCTCGGGCCCTGGGCAGCTCTTGGTGAAGTGGGCAGAACCCCTGGCTGGCCTGTGCATGGATGGGGCTGACCTCTGGCCGGGTCTGCTACAGATCCCCCCCCCAAGCAGCAGCCCCTGGTAGCTCTCTTCCAGCACTGCATCTCCCCGAAGTGAAGGCACCCGGCAACGTGATGTGCTCACCCCCTGCGCCTGCCTCGCTTATGTGCGGAGCAGGGCCCCTCGGCTGCTCCGTCCTGGTGTGGTTTGAAAGGGCGTGACGGAATGTGAACCCGGGGAAGGAGAAGGGGGACGGGTGAATCGAGCAAGGAGGCTCAGGAAGGGTGGCCTGGTCCTGGAGCAGAACCAGGGGTGAAGAGTTAACCCTGCCTTGATTTTGTTTGGCACAAGATGAGGGAGAGAAACCCTGGCAGGCTGTCAAGGTTCGACCATAAAGAACATTCCTGGAATCCCTGCCGTGCCCATTTCTTGACCTGGCCTACCTCAAAGGGCTGACAGCACAAGGAGCAGGGAGCACCAACATCGCTGCTGGCACAGCCTCCCTCCCTGGGTCCACGCCCTGGGGCAGCTCAACCGCCTTTCCTGTCCCCAAGGGCTGCCTGGGAGAGCCGGAAGGTCAAGGGCCTTTGGGAGCCACCGGGAAGGATGGAGGGGGCCCTTGGCAGGGCCTCCACCCAGCCCTCTGCGCTCCCCGAGATCCTCCTCCAGCAAAGCCCAGCAGATGAGCACCACTGGGGTGCAAACCCTCCACTGGCTCACCCACTCAAGCTTGCGGGGTCAGGCCTTGTGAGATGGTCATGACCCGGCAGGGGCCAACTCCCCATCCTCCTCCAGATGGCCGAGGCCAAGGGGCCTCTGCTCCAGAGACCGATCGCTTTTGCCAGCTGCCAAAGCAGAGGAGCAGGCACAGGCAGGCACCGCCTCTGCTCCGAAGGGCAAGGCCAAAGTCCAGCCTGGAAGTGGCGGGGAAGCCGATCTGGTTCTGGCTGTGGGCACAGGGAAGTTGGCGACTTGCCCCCGGGCTTGGCAGGCAGGCAGCACCCTCAGCTCCCCCCCATGCTCTGACCAAAGCCCCCAAAATCCAGGACTGGCCCATTGGCTGAGCATCCGTCAGCGCCACCAGCTTGAAAGGGAAGCAGCAGAGTCAGCGGCGGCTGCCAAGTTCAGAGGCAAACTGGGAGGGGAGGGGGCAAAGCCTCCCCCTGCCCTGGATGCCACTCCTGGCCGCGGAGGCCTGGCTTGGCTAACGGGGGTGGCGCCCCCCCTTTCT